ATTGCCACTTTTTTTTCAAAACAAAGTGACAGTTCAAGTTCTTCTATACCCCAGTTTTAACTGCAAAGCTGATCCTAGGCCCATGAATGTCCTACGCTATCAGTGACATGGCCTCTTACATTTCTATAGGCAAAATAAATATCCATTACATTCAGAGTTCGACCTTTATGTAGCTGGGGGAGGGAGAAGGGAATCAGAGCTACTTTCCTAACCTTAGTGAAATGCAAACCAGAAGCATGAGATGTAAAAGCTTACAGCCATATGGACTGTTGATAATGTTATCCCATATATCTATATAAAAATAAATATGAGATACCACATCCTGCTTACCTATTCTGAAGCAGAATACCAGTCGCAGAAAGAATAACCATTCCAGTCTAAACAAATCCCTAAATTCTTCCATCTTAATAGAGGATTTCCTAGACTAAAACAATTTCAGTGAGCACTGACAAAGATGAACAACAAGGCAGTGACAGGAATCGGTGTTCTCTAGAGCTTCCTGTGCTGTCATTCCAAGTAAAAACTCAGTTTTCCCCTACAGGGGCTTCTTTGTTGCACAGCAGAAATAAACACATTATAGTGGTATTACACTTTGGGGTTTTCATGCAAGTTTTTATTTCTACTGAGCAATATAATTTCTTCCCAAAGTAACATTTTTCTCCTCCACGACCATATTTAGCAACCCATAAAGACCATTTCCTCTCTGTGATCTCCAGCAAATATGGTTTCTGAAGGCAACGCGCCCCAAAGCCGGGCAGCCAGCCCCTGTTCACCGTTACTTCCCTCGCACAGGTGCATCACACCTGAGACGGAAAGCGGCGCGCTGCCGGCGCAGTTAAAGCAACAATAACAAGCCTTATGAAACACAACACCTTGCATCAGCCGGAGGCACAGATGACGGAAGCGAAAGAAGTTGGCAAATGCCAGCGCCCAGGGCCAGGGCTGGCGTGGTGATGAACGCCGCCCGCGGAGCCAGTTTGGCCGCCTCGCAGCACCCAGCTACTCGCTCCCCGCGACCAACACCGGCTGTCCCAGCCCCGGTCCCAGGACTCTCGGGCTTTGCACCGCTCCAGGCAACCCCTCCACGAGCCGGGCCGCCGCGCACCGACGCCAAGGCCACGCCGGAATGCTGCAGCCTCCCCCGTGGGGCCGGTCGGGTCCCGCCGCGCCGCCGCCTACCTGAGCGCGGCCCCGAGCGGGGCCCGGCACAGACGAGGGGCCGCGGCCGCCAGTGACGCCGTCAAAAACAGCACCCGGCCCGCGCGGGACGGCGCCTGCGCGCGGCGGCGCCTCAGCACCCTGGCGAGCGTAGTCCGCGCCCCGCCGCCGCCCAACGGCTCTCGCGCCGCCACAACTACAGCGACCGGTGTGCACCGCGGCGGGCGGCCCGGCCCGGCCCGCCCCGCCCCGCCGGCAACCGCGGCTCCCGCTGCCATGGCAACGCCGCGCCGCGGCCCCGCACAGTGGTACCGGGCCCGGCCGGGCTGTGCTGAGCCATGAACAGGGCCGGCGTGGCGGGTCCGCGGAGAGACCCCGTGAGGAGAGGGGCAGCAAGGCAGACCTGCGGGGCCAGCGTTTGTCCCGTGGGCAGAGGGCTCAGAGGGGCCTGCAGCGCCGGGAGCGTGTCAGCTGTGGTCACAGCGTAACCCCGGCCGACACCCGGCTATGAAGGGACGCGCTCTTTTACGTGCGGATAGCGCTGGTCCTAAAGGAAAGAAAACAAAACAAAACGGCCCCAACAAAGCACATCCCCCCAAGGCACAACACCGCTGGCACACACAGGAAAAAAGAAAACAAAACAGTGCAGCATATGGACTAGGAATACCTGATCCTTGCACCTGAGGATGCCTGTGAATTAACTGATTTGGACAGTGGCCTACCAGCTCAAGCTTGAAACGAGACGCCTGCACCCTGAGCTGCTCAGGAGAAGCTGTCCTTACCCTTGGGGGACAACACACAGAGTAGATCCAATGGCCAGAGACAGCCCCAGCAGTGCTGGAGCAAACAATCAGGAGACAAAAACAGGCCTCAAAACAAAGTAAAGGAAAAGTACAATTTCTTATCAGTGTTTTACCTCAACTGAAATGTTTTCTCCATCCTTCCTGTGACTCAGGAACACAGGAAAAAAGATTTCATTGCACCTCTCAACAAGAGCAGGGTTTGAATGGTTTGCACAGCCAAACTAAGGCAAGGAAGTACAGTCATCGAGATGTTTCTTAAGGCTTAGCATGCATATTTCTGTATGTTAGAAAAAGAGGAGTCAAGTCCAAAATAAAGCATCCACAACACCTCACTATACTCATACTCTCATTCATGTTTTTATTACCCATTCTAATTATTTCTGCCGCACATATTCAGATATTTTCTAACCTTAAGGTTACCACAAGCACAGAAATGGATGCAAATTCTAATTTTTAATCTACCTCCTTGTGAACATGAGTCCAGTTATCACTGTCCACAGTTTACTAAATAAGGTCAAAAGTCAGTTCCTTACTCTCCCTCACGAATGTATTTCAATACACGTCTTGAGCAATGTTTGCCCTGACCACAAACACTTAAATTTGAAATGCTTTGCCATGTTATTTGAAAGGGTGAATTGAAATCCATCTCCTTATGGGGGCAAATAGATGACTTCTGACAAGAAACTGCCATCAAGTCCAAGCACTGAGCAAAATCCGTCTCCTCATGGTGTTTTGATGTGTGCTGGAGCCTGAAACATGACCAATGGCTCTCTTAGAACACCTCAGGTTTTACTGTTTAAAACAACTGCAAGTGAATGTAGTGACACCTATGGTGGTACCCTGCAGTGGATCTGGTGGATCAAACCTCTTCAAACCTCTTACTTATGGGTCATTTCAAGATACTTAAACATTGCCATTAACAGCAGTAGGATATATGATTATGCCCATTTCCAGCGTACTCTGTAAAAATGGATCTCCAACTTTTTGTCATACACTTAGACATGTAGCTTTAAGAAAACAGATCTTCTTTCAGTCATCCTAGGAATAACTGTCAGCATCTGGTCTATTTCAGTTTTGCTGGGTTGTCACGGGTTAACCCCAGCTGGCAACTCAGACCCACAGAGCCACTCACTCCCTCCTTCCCAATGGGTTGGAGGTGAGAATCAGAACAGTAAAAGTGAGAAAACTCAGGGGTTGAGATAAAGATAATTTAACAGGTAAAGCAAAAGCCATGCACACAAGCAAAGCAAAATAAGGAATTCATTCACCACTTCCCATGGGCAGGCAAGCGTTCAGTCATCTCCAGGAAAGCAGGGCTCCGGCATGCCATACCAGATGGTTACTTGGAACAGCAAACATCACCACTCTGAACATCCCTCCCTCCCTCCCCTTCCTTTTTCTCCCAGCTTTGTATGCTGAGCATGATGCCTTATGGTATGGGATATCCCCTGGGTCAGTCAGGATCCCCTAAGTCCCCCTCCCAGCTTCTTGTGCACCTCACTGGTGGGGTGAGAAGCAGGAAATGCCTTCATACTGTGTAAGCACTGCTCAACAGTAACTAAAACATCCCTGTTATCAGCACTGTTTTCAGCACAGCTCCAAAGCAGAGTCCCATACCAGCTACTGTGAAGAAAATTAACTCAATCTCAGCCACAACCAGCATGTGGGTTGAAAAAGATGTATCAAAAAGGATGTAGCCCATCTTTCCATCTGACCTAAGCCTACAAAAATTAAACTTTCAAAACAGGTATCATAAATGTGGAACTATAATTTTTAGAAAGAGTTAAGTACAAGAGTCATTGACCTGAAGGTTTATTTATTTTAATTACAGTATTTTCTGTTTTCAAAACTTAAAAGTCAGTCTCCACATTTCTACACCTCAGAACACTAATACCAAAAGAAAGCATGACTTCATCATAGTGTACACATCATCGGCTCACGTACTGAAGTCAGAAGTTTAACACCCATCAATCTCAATGCAATCAGATGAAACAGGCAGATATTCTTAAATGTCACCAAGCACATGTGCTTCCCTAATCTTTAAAGAGGGCACTGTTCCTATTTCATAGCAATAGAAAAAGTTGCCTACCTACAGGAAAAAAACAGCCTTGAGTAGCTGTAACAAACCACTACAATAGAACTGGCCTATACAGATGCATACAGATTGTCCTAATAGGCTCTGGAACCAAAACAGAAAATCAGGAGCTTATAACCAGTGTCTGCTTCTTTGCATTTTCTTTTTCCCATTGCCACTGTCTGTCCTCCCCTCAGCCCCCAACTACCCTCAGTAATTATATATATGTGTATATATATATATATATATATATAAACGCTGTATTTTGGCGAGTAAATCATTACATTCAACTGAGGCACTAATGCTCTTGCACTGTCCTCCTTCCAACTACTATAAACAGAGGATTTTTAACCCCTTCCATTGCAATGCATTAGATACTTGCAGGAAAGAAGGAACAGAAACTACTCCAGACATTTCAGACTCACCTCAGTACTCCTCTCAAGGCTCTAAGTAAAGCAACTGGAAGCAGTGCCTGCCAAATTCTCCCTGATCCAAGAGCATAAAATCTGCACAGAATAACATATATCTGCATAATAAATATTTTCTCCTAAGGACAAAAATCAGCCACACGTAGTCTTCAGGAAATGGACTGATGTGGAAAATTTGCAAGTCTGCTAAAACAGCTACTGAAAGAGTGTAGTTGAAATGGTCACAATTTGGATAAAATGCCCAACAAAACAGAACCACTCAAGCCCAGTGCTTCAGGCTATCACAGTAATACAAATGCTAACATATATATATATATACACACACAAACAATACAATTCCATATTACATTCTTCCACTGTCCAAAACAAGCACAGGACTTTAAAGCATATTGTCACACTTCATGTCATTTTATAGCACGTGTAACCTTACCAGGATGGTCCCATTTCTGAGAACCTTTAATCACACCAGTATTCCTGAGATTCGGGCCAGTGTCAACAGAGTACAAATTAAAATAATAGCTCAAGAAAAATATATACTCTCATGCAAGTAACAGTGGTTTTATTTAGAATATTCTTTACAGCTACACCCTAAGATTACTAACCATAGCAGGCTGGAAGAAGTCAGTCATAGTCATTGATAGGAAAATTTATCACAGGATTAATTTACTGCTACACTACAGTAGAATGCCACAGGTTTATAATTGTTCCACTTGCCTTGTTTGGTCAGTCCAAACAAATTTTTCCAAGTAAATATGAAAACTGAAAATATTCAATGTATATTACTTAAAGCTAAAAAGAACGTTCTACATAAAAGCTACCTCTATGCTTACAGGTAGAGGTTTGCCAAATTAGATTCCAGAATATCTAAATTCACTATCTTAGTTTCAGATGTGCCAAACACTATGAACAATGAGAGGAAAGCAGATAACCATAACCATAAAACACACAACTGTTTCAGCTTTGGTGGAGAAGAGAAAGATAAGAAGTTAACAGGTGTTGACTATACAGAGCTACTGAAGTCGTTTCAAAACTCACTGTCTAGATTCAGTAGATATTTACAGACAAATATTTCATTTAGTTATGAGTAACTTTACATCAAGTCCCAAAAGCATATTTTAATATTCAACCCACCAATATTTTACAGAAAGCAAAAATAAGACAACTTTGTATCAAAATTATATAGAATATATATAATCATATTTGTTATAATACTATACTTTCAAAAAATAGTAATTCATATATCCAATCTTTTACCAATTCTGTAGGTGTTCTGGATGAAACAGAAAAATGTCTAGTTAACAGCACATTAAGAGAACTAAGATTCTTTCTGATGCCCTTAAAAGGCACCTCTGTCAAAAAGTACCTTTTTTGTTTTTTAAATTAAGAATCTGGTGTTGTTCCTTGAATCAGGTGTCTAATCTTCTCAGCATCTTTTTCTATAGTTCTATTTTTAGGATCAATCTTGAGAGCTGCTTCATAATCCTGGAGACCTAATACAGAAACATTAATAAGAATGTCAATCAATGACATGAGCATCCTCTTTAGCAACTAACCAGAAATAAGTGCTCCCCAGTCACATGCAGAAATGACACTAGGTTTACCTTTTGTCAGTAAATAAATTCATATTTTATTTATATTATTTTGCAGACCATTTTAGTGGAAACACTCCACTATGTAAACATTTCCAGGTACTGAAACAAGAAAACAGAGCCTCTTCATTCCCATATATACATATACACATGTGCATGAGGAGAGTGTTCAAAAGCCTTCTGCAGAAGAGAGAAAAAATGAATGACAGATGGAAAGTGCATGAAAACAAGAAATAAAAGATGTGAACTGTGAATACTAGAGCTTGGGTGGGGGTAAAGCAAACCTTAAGTACAGGAAGTAAAATAAAGATTTCCAAGTGCAAATGAAGCTGTAAGGGAATGACAAAGTGATTCATAGGGTGAAAAAAGTAATCAGTGGGAAAAGGTTAGTATTTCACTCCTGACATTTGGAATATTCTTCCCCTTCTACTTTCTAACAACTTCCAATTTTTGTTACTTTTTGCCTTACAAAATTAAACTGATACTCTTAGAGAGCTCAGTAGGGACACTTAATTCAGGTATTTTCACAGAAATCACACACACTTGATGAAACATTTTGCTGACCAGTATGGGTTCCATGCATATTTTTACCGAGGTATGTTACTAAGCACTTCTCAAGCAAATATTTTACAAATATTTCAGGTTATTTTAGGTTACTTTGTCCTATAATTGGAAATACTGTAAATAAGATCTCAAAACCAATAAAACATGGCTTCATGAATAGCAAAATTAGTGCAATATAGTTTTGTATCAGTTTGTATCCTACATTCCACTGCCTCCCAGTGCAAATATCTCACCTCCAACCTCTCATTCTTCACTAATACGTTCTATGGCCACCAAGCTGCTATGGTCAATAGTTGGCCATTATGCACAGAAAGACTGAACCAAGAGACCAAACAGAGGATACATAACTCCATAAACTCCTCAATGCAAAAACTAGTTTGCACTCCTCAAATTAGGAGTACAATCAATTTTCTCAAAACTGTTAAGATTTTTCAAGTGGAATTGCAATTAGACAGTAAATATTTTTAAATAAATTAAAAAAATAAGGAATGTTGTATAAGGGTTCATAATGAAGAGACCTGCTTTGTACAGGCCTCCTTTAACGACTCTCCTGAAAAAAATAAAGGTGTGGGCAGTCTCACTGAGCTAAACAGAATTACTTATGTGTCACTATAAATTCACGTGCACTTTTACACAAAATCGAGGTCTTACCTTCAGTATATAATTCCAGCTGACAAAATGCTGTTCCACGTCTCACATATGCTTTTACTCGAGCATTCTCATTATCAGGAACAGGTGGTGTCAACAGTTCTAGTGCCTTTACAAATGAAAACACACAAAATATTTAGAGGGAGATTTTGCTTCAGTTTGTTTTTTTCCCATTTACACACACTCCTCTCAATTACTATGATTATACAGTAACATACTAACAATTCAAATAGAAAATAACTATTCAGATTTAACTACATGGCTTGTGAATCTAGTCATTAAGATTTGTATCTGTTACCCAGCAGTTTGCTAAATACAGTTTCATTGCCATGGCTAAAAACTGAGGAATACTGTCTTAAACGTTTATTACAGTCAAATAATGTATTCTATTTACACACATGAAATTATATACTCAGAAAAAAAAAAAAAAGGCAGCCCTAGAAGAACTGCCCTTTTTTTTTATTTAGTAGTAGTTCCTAGGAAAAAAAAACAAGTTTCAAGCCTCAAGAAGTTCAAAATCAGTTAAAAAAATAATAACTTTAAAAAAAAAATAATTCTAGAAAAACTGTCTCCAAACTATACAGGACCCATTTAAGATCACTCCTTTCTCATTGCACAAATAATGGCTGCTAAAATACCAAGATAATGCAGCCCTTCTCTAAAAATGGCTGGTTTGTTTGGGGGCTTTTTAAGTTCTCCTCCTCACCACCACCAGCTTTTTTATTTTCTTCCCACAAAATGAAGAATACCACAACATAGCACAAGTGATATCTCTCTGTATTTTCTTTTTTTTTTTCTGCTCAAAGTTGCCTTTTTTTTTTTTTCCCAAGTGTATATATTCCTAAAATATTTTACTTGTAAAGAAACATGTATTGAGTCAACATAGGCCATTCTTCCCAAGTGTTTGGAAGCATGGTTTGGGGGCTTTAAACACAACCATTACAGTAATAAATCACAACCACGTATAAGACGACTGTCTGAGAACCTGCATATTTTTACCTTGGAGGAATCTTCAATAGCTTTATGTAGATTTCTCAGTTTCAGGTGGCAGGCAGCACGATTCAGGTACAGCAAGGGAAGTTTATTGTTTAGCCTCACTGCAAGGTTATAGGCATTTACAGCTGCAAGATAGTTTCCCGTTGCAAACATTTTGCTAGGTATAAAACAAAAAGTGAAACATACACTTTAAACAAGGTGGTACATCACAAAATAAATACCCACTTATTGTTAAAATTCATTTTCAAAAATTTGAAGGTTTAGCCACTTTTCCCTTGGAAATGGCCATTTATAGCCTTTTCTGAGAACAACATAGCTGCAGTTCAGTCAAATGTGATGCTGACAATATAGCACAGAGATACACAAATAGTCATTTCTCAGAGGCAATGGAAGAACAGTAAGACCAGTAAGAGGCGGACATATCTAGGCAGAGGCAGGACTAATACTGAAAGCCATGTATCTGATTATCAGACTTTGCACATCAAACCAAAAATATGCACCATGTGTTCACAATGATTTTGTCTATCATGTGCTGCAGCAGTTGCATCTCATGACTTTATCAGATTCAAACCCCATAAGCTGTCAATAAATTCTCTACTATGCAGACATTCACCACCTGTGTCTAGAATAAATAGAAAATATCAAAACTAAGTAATAGACATAGACTATATAGCTCATTAAAATGCATCTTCAAATCTAACTTACTTTCCTTTGTCCTTTAACCAATCTGGATTCTTCTCCTCTTCTTCTAAATCTTCCAGCTCAGACAAATCATCACTTACTGTTCTTCGAGCTTCTGCTTGTTTACGTAGCCACTGTAAATATACAATGTGTAAGTAGTACTTCTGAAGCAAAATTCAAATCCAAAAAAAGAATTTTGCTTTCATCTCTTAACTCACTCCTATCAAAAGAATTCTATTGGTCACATAATTTGGACAGGGAGAAATCTTTTATAGTGTCAGATATGAAAAAACCTTCCAATTTTCCCAAATATTTTATTAGCATGTAAGAAGCAACATTACTGCATCACTAATACATTTTTGTTGCTTATTTGTTTTGGAACTCCAAAATGACTCTTTGTGTTCACTCAACAGAGCACAAAAAAGCTAACAGTGAGCTTCTTTTTAAGAAGACAGAACTTAAAGAATCTTAAATATAAATATATAGAGAGACATTTCAAATGCTGTATTTCAAGGAATTAAATTAACACTGCTGTGTTGGGCTTTTTTCCCTCCCAGAAAAGGGAACATGCTATTTATTAATCTGCACAATCACATGCTTAGTGAAAACGCTTTTTATATAAAAGTGTTTCTTTAAATCTTAATTTAAATAAGACAGTCTTCCTTGGAAGATAAGAATGTTGGCACAGGTACCATCTTTGTCAATTTGCTGAACACATGGTAAATAATTCACCTTGGAAGACAGTAGAAGCATTGTACTAAACCAGAGAGCAATCCTTACCTCCTCCTCTTCTGCAACCCGAGATTCTCGCAGAGCTGTAGGGAAAACTCGTGATGTAAAGTTGATTTTAATTGTAGCAGCAGATCGAGGAGCTGGTAACTGTTCCTCCTTTAAGTTTTCTGAAAACATACTGTAGGAACCATGACCTGTGAAAAGAATTGGAGTACTGGAAATGAAAATTGGAACAAAAGAGGTTTCTCTCGTTTTCTTCCAAAGTCCGAAGTACACCTAATTCAGAAATTCTGAGCATTAGAACAACTATTAGCTTGAGAAAGGTTTAGACTTGTTCTTTTGAAATGAAGGTTAAAAAAAAAAATGAAGTATGTTCTTGCTGTGTAATGCCATCTATTTACTGGCTACATTGTCTGTCACAAACAAACTTGAATTCCTCTTACACCACTATCTCTGTCACTTGCATGATTCTCTGACAGAGCAACTGCAAGAGCTAAAACTAACCTTACCAAAACAAACGAAACGACCAAAAATTAAATACTTTCTATTATTTTAGTTCCCTGAAAGGGGTCTCTGTGGGGCCAAGTTGTGGGATAAAGTGAAAGGAGATTGCATATTTCTTTGAAAAGCAGCAGTTAGGTTACTTTTGGTAACATGAATTCCACCCTCCAAAAGCCTGTATTACACTGTAAGAAAGGCTTTCTGGTTTACTTTTCTAAAGCTTAGAAGAAAACCTGCCCTTGTATTTCCAAAAGCTTAAACAAGAGCTAAGAACTCTCATGCTTTCGCTCAATAAATTACCTGAAAATGAAGACACCATAATAACTGCAAACTAAGAGAATTAGATCAGTATGGTGAAGACAAAGATAAATGATGAATTAGAAACATCTAGGAATATAGTTATATCCCACACTGTAAAGAACGATAAAATACACTTCAGTATGACAACCTTTAGTAGGTTTGAGTCTGGTTTCAGAAGTTCCTTTATTAAGAATCCTAGTTTTGTCCACCTTTTCCTTTTTCCTCTCCTTTAGTTGCTCTACTTCTTGATGTAGTTTCCCTCCTTTTTGTACCCTCTTTTGTTTCTCAGCATCTTCTTGCTGTTTTTTCCATAACTCCAACTCCTTTGTGACCTTCTGTCTTTCCTTTTCTTTCAGATCTTCAATTCTTTTTCTTTCTGCTTCTTCTAGCTGTTTGAATGATAAACCTGAGATATGTAATATCTGCTAATAATAAGATGACCAAGTAAAAGTTACCATTATTTTCCCAGTTCCATATCCTAAGCACAGTGTCATCATTGATGTGATTGTACAAACACAGTTAAGGAAGACACTCAAAGTGACTGGGAGAGTAAAAAACTCTGATAAGTTTTTAGAAGTTGTATCTCTTAACTGTTACTACCAATACTAAGGTATGACCCAGAAACATTCAGAAACCATTTTTACTTGTAAACAGGGAAAATCCTAGCCATATTCCAAGGCACATCTCTGGAATATGCAAAACGTAAAATATATGGTTTGATTTTAATATACTATTTCTTTTTTCTCCAATCTGAAATTATTATATACGTAGACTAGGTACAACATTGCTACTAAGAAAGTCCCTAATTGCAGTTCATTTTGTTCCAAATTTCATATGCAATGTTAAAATTTCATTGTATACTTTAAAAGACCCTTTTAAAAACAACTGAAGTGATCAGGCTTTTTATGTACATTCAAATTTTTAAGACTGCATCTTAAAATGCACACAAACACAGAACGCTAAAGATATACAACACAAAAGGCAATGAACAGCAAGTCTGGTATAAAATGTAACAATAAATAAGTAAGATTTAAAAGAAATAACTAGTGTTTTGACAGTACTAAATGACTTAACACTTGTGCTTATGAAAAGGCCACAAAAGATTACAGTTTTTCCTCCTCAACTGCAGTCGATTGACAAAAGTCTGAACTCCTCACCAAAAGTTTTCATTAGTATTACTAATGGAAAACTACAACTTCTAAGTATTTTTTCTGTATCATTTTCATATTTGCTAATACCTGTGTTTTAAGTACAAAGAACTAACAAGGTTCACTACCACTGTAATAAAACTGAGTGCTTCTCATCTTTTTAAGGTACGATTAACCAAGCAGCCGCCAGACCACTTGGTAAGTGGTTACATGGATGTATCTTGCAAATTCCCTTCTAAGCTTACCTTCATTGTGGCCTCCAAAGCATATTTTTTGTGTTCCTGTTTTGTAACTTTTTTTGCTTCTGTTTCCTCTTTTGCCTTTTCATGGGCTTTTAGAACAGCATTCTCTCTTAGATACTGCAGTTTCTCCTTGTTATCTTGAAAACCAAATAAAAACTATTTCAGTAATTTAGGCCTGAAGTTCTGATGTTCTGCACCGTGCTCATAAACCCAGAATTCCTTTTGCTGCTTTGTCTGGGAAAACGCAACCTGGTTCAAATTCCACAAAGCACTCACTATCTCTAAAAATGAAAAACTAAAATTCATGTACACTGTTTTGTTTTGTGCACACTAGACCCAGAGGATGTTCTTTTTATGTTTCCATATGCCTTGTATTTTTAACAATGAACAACAAGGTTTAACTCAGCAGATAACTAGTAGCAGAAGTTCACATTGTTTATTATGGTGTGTAAAGTCTTGGCACAGTTTGGGTTTCTTACACACAATCTACTGTTCACAGTAGAGAACTTACCATTTTCTATAGTCAGGGAATCCCACATGGCCTCTTCTTTTTTATACAAAGTGAAGAAAATGATTCCATTTCCAATCTTTGCTGTGCTGTTTGTTTCATCAATAGGAGCATAAAAAATGGCTTCAAATAAAAAGGGAGGGATGCTTACCTATGGAAGTATAATTAATTTGTACTGATATTTACAATTTTTAATTAAATCTCACATATTCAAAATACTGAGTATGAGCATACAGTAAACCTCAAGAAAAACATCCTATTGGCACAACTGCTTTGCTTAGTATCCAGTATGGAAGTGGTATTTTATTAGATCAGGTAAGAGAGACTGAAAAAATTGGTTCTTCTGCAACAGAAGATTTTAAATTTACAATTATTCATAATATAAGCAGATGTGTATAACTCAGGCCATTTATGAGAGAAAAGGCAGCTGGTGCCTACTGAGTAGAAAAGCATTAGTACAGAGAGGCACAATCAGTGGTAGAGCCATTCTATCTAGTAGGATATTTAACAGCCTGCAGCAAAAAAAAAAAAAAAAAAAAGCTATTATAGATTAACAATTATAAAAGATTATAAATTTGAGAGCGCTGCCGTGATGTATTAACCGTGTTCTTTTTAACAGCGCTATGAAGTAACACCAAGGCACAGGCCCATGGCCCGCAACACATCTCAAGCAGCACCACTTGACGACAGAAGGCCCGTGGGAGAAGCGAGGCCGCCCCACCTTCAGGTACTGGTCAGTGCAGAAGATGTTGGCGGGGGTGACCCGAACGCCGCGCACGGCCAGCGAGAGGTACACGGCGGAGCCGGTCTGCCGCCAGCTGTACTCCCGCAGCCACACCGGCATGGCGGCTCTGTTGCTACAGGCACCCCGCCGCCGTTACTAGGGGAGACAGAGCTACCGATGCTCGCCAAGAGCACTTCCGGGTCCCTCCGCACTGCCCCGGAAGGCGCCGGCCGAGCCAACGGTGGAGTTGCGGAGCCCGGAGCAGGTCCTGCGCGGGTCCCTGTTGAGGCACCGCGGTCCTGACAGGGTCCCCGGGGCCCCACGGTTCCATTCGCTGCTGCTGCCGAGGAACACGGCGACCATACCGCGACCCGCACCACGCCGGCCCTGCGGTGCCCGCGGGCGCCAGGGTGTACGAGCAGCCCCGCTGGGGAGCGCATGCCGCTGCCAGCCCAGCTGCTAACGGCGGCAGCCCAGGGGAGCCGCGGCTCCCACCCCGCCTGTACAGAGGCAGGCGCGCAGCAGGGCGTCCGTGATGGGCAACAAGGGCGGGTACACCCGCGGCAGCAAGGGCTCTTCCCTGCGAGTCCCGAGCACGGTTCAAAACAGCAAACACCTTTCCCAGGACTGGACGGGGCAGCAGGAAGCTCAGTCAGCACACGGTGGTTGGGACCTCTGAAACATGGCCAGATTGGCTGACAGAAACCCCACTGCAGGCACCAGCCCGTGACTTACCCGGACACCGCGCACGGAGGGCGCTATTCTGGTTTTCATCACTCGCACCTCAGCGGAGTAGGAAGGAATGCAGCTCTTACGATCCATAAAGAGACAAACTGTTACTAGCTTGAGAATTCCTGGTTAAAACTATTAAAAGCTGAGGACTGATTCAGCAATACACTGCAACTCCCAGATGTCCTCTAAAGTACTCGACAGCTCCATGCTATTGCCTCCCAATACTGTCTATTTTGCTCTCTTTGCCAAACACTCAGGAGATAATTTGCGCGTTGTTGCTCAACCCCTTCTCAAACAGTAACACTGTATCTGCCAAAATAAAGTCTAGTACATGGAAAGCAACTGCGTTTGGGGAATACGGGTTGAAAGGCAAGCCAAACACTCGCATAAACATTCAGGTACGGTTTAAGTTCCTCAGAAGTATAAATTATGTACAACTATTTGGGGAATAAACCCCATCCAGAATCAAAAAGTCAAGTTTTCCTCTTTTAATTCTTTCAAAATATGACCAAGAAAAGCTGAGTTTAACATTACACACACTAGCTTTTTGATGTGTATCACTGAGGATTTAATTTTAATGTTCTACTATCTATATTCCAAAGCAATGTTCAAATGGTGGTGGTGAAGTCATGTGTATATATATATATATATGTATATAAATAAAATATTGCAGAGGTTTAAAACTTTTTCAGAGCAAGAAATCCATTGTAATTGATACAATTTCCGGGTTGTTCTCCACCCTCACTCACCCACATCAGTATAATGTGGGTGAATGCTTGTATGGACTGGTATCTGAGAACTGAATTAAAATCCTCATTCAAAGACCATTCAAACGTGTAAGAGGCAAGAGATTTAACTGAAGGTATTTTTGGCACATGACTTTAAACCTTTCAGGTTTCATCTTTTCAGACTTACGTTAGGACATGCACCATGGAAAAAGGAGCCTTGTTGTCAGCTGCAGATGAGACTTCTGGCACTTACAGCTCTGAACCCAGACCTAAACCACAGCGTCTCCACCAACAGACTGCTATCAGCCTAAGAAACTGTAAGAGAAAAAAAAATAAAAGCTGATGGAAGAGTCTTGCTGCGAGAACAAACCTCCTCCTGTTTGTTTTAAATCTGCCTCATGCTACCTTCATTTAATATCACTTAGTTGTTTGTATTGCAAGACAAATTTCAGACAAATGCAGAAAGGGATGAAACAAGCAAGTTCTCAACATCCCTTCAGTGACATTCAGGTTTCTTACAGACCTTTCTTCACTCAAAGAGATGTTTTCTTAGAAGGCCCCTTGCCTTACATTTCTTCTACATAGCTTTATCTTCTTTGCTGACCTTCAAAGCTTCCCCAGTTCTACTATATTGAAACCAGAGAGGCCACAGCTGCACACAGTCATCAAAATCCTATTTGCCTGCTTCCTACATGAAGTAATGGAAGAGTTGGGGATCGGAGGGCTTGTTTTAGATCAGTGTGTTCTAATAGCAGCATTGGCTAGAATGGTTATAATGCAGTAGTACCTCAGAATCTCCTACCACTCCAGAATGCAGCTGTAATCATCCAGGATGCATTCTTCAGTTTTGGAGAGTCCATGCATGGGCAGTAAAGTCTTGGACTTCTTGAGTGCTGGTCTTCTGCCTTGGTCATGCAGGAGCCATTTTTAGTTTAGCCACAGAGAATATACTGAAATGCAGCAGCTTACTATTTATTCCTGCCAAAAAGACCAAGCTATGTATACACACTTTACAAGCCAAGACATAGATATGATTACCTGTATTTGCTGTTCTCAAGTTACACAAAATAGGTCCAATACATTAACAAAAAAGTCTGTTTACTTAAAAGCCAGGTCACCAGTGCAAAGCCATGCATTTCCCCCATGGAAGACATTAAATGTCACTGACCCGTTTCTAAGTCAAAGTGGCAGATTTCACTGCTAAAGAACATAAAAGGGACTGAGCAAGGTCGTGGATCTACCTTAAAAGTCTTGTGGTGATGCTGTCCACAGAAGCACCACCTATGTCATATGCATTCCACATTGCTAGCTTACTTGGACAAATAAGTGATCTCTCACTATGATATTTCTGCCAAGTAAACCAAGAGAAAGGCCCATGCAGGATTTCTTCTGTTTGCACTAAGTTACGAGTCAAAGGTGCAACGAACTGTTGTGAAAAAAAGACATTTTTTTTCCTCTGGAAAGCTTTTTTATTAAATTCCCATGTCCTGTTCTACAAAGGATGGAAATGTATACTCCAGTCAAATCTATTACTAATACTCTGACCTTCCAGTTGCCAGTACATACAGAGGTCTCTTCCAGGGGTTATTACACTTCTAATGACTTCAGAGGCTTTAATGTATGGTGGGGAAAATCCTTTAAATAGTTTAAATTTTCTTAATTTAATAATCTTTACCCCTTCCCATCCTTTCTAAATTCTCATTTCTCTCATCCCTCCACATTTTTTTAAGAGGAGCAGGATTATTTTATCAGATGCTATTTTTTCAAATGAACCGTTCTGCATGTGTGGTTTACCACCTGTATCAGTTGCCGATTCGGTACGAGTTGGTTCTGTCATTCCAACAAACAGGAATACCATAATAATAATTTTTACAATTAAAATAGATAATTCTTTGTATAATTTCATCCCAAGTGCAGAAAGCTCTAAAACGATATATTCAGCCAAATGGTGCCTAAGCCTTCCCTGCCATCCTGTAATAAAGAAATTCGGCTCATGGTGCAAGACCTGTTCTATTCTCCTTTGAAGTTACTTCAGATTAATGACCTCACAAACAGCAAACCTCTCCAGGAGAGGCAGGAGCTGGCTTTTCTGAGCAATACAGCCTCATACTGTGCCTTGCAGGATTATGCCTAATCCAGATGCATTCTCACAGGCAAAATATTATGAGTTAATACAATCAGCTAGGTTGGAAAAGACCTTTCAGATCACCAAGTCCAACATTTACCCTAGGACTGCCAAATCCACCACTAAAGTGTGGCAATAAGGGCCTACATCACCTTCATAAAAATCAACAGGCAACTTCCCCACAAAAATTACTTTTATTTTAAAAGAAACTGAAAACAGACAACAGAAAGCAACAAAGTTACAGACAGTGTTGGACAAAATGTACCATATACATTATCCAAGAACGCTGGAATCAGATTCTGATACATGTTCTTCTAAAAGGTATCACATCATTATTAGCCAAAAAAATAATTAAATGTCAACAGTCTTAATCAGCTTATACTTTGCATTGTTTGGATGGCAGTAGATTGGTAACTTGCCTTTTTCAACCCATCTTTAACACTGAAAGGAGAATATGGACAAAGAATTCCAAGTCAAAAGGCTCTTAAGAACACAGCATCTGCTCTGTAGGCCATATATAAAAGCCTGGAGGAGAAACTGTCTTTTAAGTAAAAAATCCCTCAACAACTCTGTATTATTTCACATTTCAGAAAAAAAAAAACCCAACAAAAACAAAACAACAAACCTATCAAGAAAGGAACAACAACAAAATAAAAGAATCTACGAAAAGCTTGCCCTACTTAAACTATATGGAATTTCAGAAGATGAATGCCTAGGAATAGACACAACATCTCTCGTGACTCCAATCCCAAACTGTCTCAAATACAGCAATTCCTGAATTACAGTGCACAGCCCTTTTAGTAAAAAGGTGGGGTTCAGCCAGTTTGTTTGAACATGAGAAGGAAAATTAATCATGTATGGCAAACAATACAAAAATAGGTATTTCCTGTGATGCTGGGGTAAGCCATGTCTGAATCTGGAAGCTAAGGGCGATATTGAATGCTTTTAAGCCACAGGCAGCACCTCTAAGGGGCTGAACACCATTCAGAATTCATCACCTCAGAACTGATGACACACAACACTAGGGCACTAATGGGATCCTTTACTTCCATATAAAATTTAAGCCCAAAAAAATCAGGAGTTCCATGCAAACAAATGAATGTGCATAACTCAAGATGTAATGTAGGATAATTATATTGCCTCAAGAGTTCTGCTAAGTACACTTAATTTTCCAATTTTAAGGAAGTCTATTCTAATATAGAAAGCTTCAGACAAAACTTAGTAATTGCAGAATAACGTTAAAATACATCCAGTTCTACATCCTCCTGCATACATCTAATCACATCCAATAGATAAACAATGGCATGTTTTGTAAACCAAGTAAAGAGCGTTAGAATTTTCACACCCATGAGCGTACGACCAGATGTTCACCCATTTGTCAGAGGACAGTAATACAAAACTCATTCTAACAGTTGTGGCAACAAGATGACAATGCACATAAGTGCTGTGTGTTCTGAAAGGTAGTCAGTTTAATTATCATGAATTGCTACCATCTACCATACCTCATTCTATGCAAGATACCACACCAGCTACCAATCCATAAACAATAATGTTTCACATACTTCATAGAGTAGCTTAAAACACATCATGATATGAAATAATTTGTATTACATAGTAATTTAATCCCTGGCCACAGGGTTAACGTTGGACAAAGTCTGGAAACTTTTTTCCAATTTGAATTACATACATTAACTTTGCCACACACCACAGCACTAATGCATGTATTACTTCAGACATGCTCTAATTTAAAATTGAAACAAAAAAGTTGTTGCAAAAATACATGTCACCAATGTGGAACACATTCAAGATTGTATAAAAAGTACTGAACTGATATCCTAAAACAGGTATATTTAAGCAGTACATAAGGAAAGATTAGTTTTAATATGAAACAGTCATTTAAGTCACATACAACATGATAAAAAGCATGACTTCCTTATTTGAAAATGCTACACCAATACTTTTACTGCCAGGTAATGTTTATTTATAAAATGAAAGGGATCTATTTAATGCAGATGTGTTATTGTATTAAGTTGGAATAAAGACAAATGTTTAAAAGTTGCTACATTTGAACACCATTGATTTTGTAAAAATCTCAAACCATACAAAGCATTTCAATGGCAAATATCATAGGCCTCAAACTGCAAACACTTTGAAACGTTCTTGATGCGTGCGTGCAGTTCCACTGACCGTTAGTTCTCACGTGCTAGAAGTTAAGCCTGAAAAATGTGATTACAAAACTGGCTCTTAGATGAAAAACTTTAAGGTCACAATGTTTGTATTTCTATAAGCAGCCCCCAAAATTATGTTTTTAATAGTAACTTCATTACTTCAGTCTCTTTCATCTGAAGATCTCAAACAAAACTAGGCCTCTAAACAACCTTGGCAAGTAAGCATTAGTCCAGTCTTCTGAAGGCAGAAGTTGAGGCACAACCAACCAACCTGCTTGGCTCAAGTTGTAGAAGGGATTGGTAAAACAGCCAGAAACAGGATTTTTGACATCTACCCTCTAGCCTATACAGTGTACTGTCACTTACCCTGGCAACAATAAAACAAGTATTTTAAAGAGCAAATTACTTATTTTCTCATTTAAAATTGGTCTCTGGAAAAAAACAAACCCTAAGTATTGAGGACAGTTTGTATCTATTCATTTCAGCCTGAGGGAGGGGAGAACTTTTTAGGCAATACGGGCTCGTTTCTGACCATGACAAGAAGCTGTTCAAAAGGACACAGGCATTTCCCATACAACTTTTAAGGTTTGTAAGATTTACAAAATCGTTGCAATATTTTTGGTGTGCAGCACCAGTACAGTCTAAATCACCAGTAATGAAAGAAGCACGATAGTTCAATAAAAATTGTTTCATGTAGAGTATTACAAAAAAACTCACCTATTCTAATCCACCCTCCCTCCCACCCACCCTTCTATAACTAGTTTCTAATTCTAACCAGCTGACGTTTTCCTAGTACCTTACTAACAAAACATGATTGTTGTTTTTCTTGTGCATACTTGAACTACTACTAGTAAATACATGCAGAGAGAAACAAAGTATAATCCTCTCTCTAGACAGAGTCCAGGTATGCCAAGCACACATCAGTAGGGCAAGCATATTGGCTGGATGACTTTCAGAGATCCTCATCAGTCATATCTCTGTCATCAGTGTAGTAACAAGTTTGGGTTTGTTTTTCATTTGTTTTTATTTTGTGTAACTGGCATTTGCTAATGCTTTGTATTTACAGGTTAATAAACACAGAAAATTTACTGGGTTACAAACCCAACATAATACCAGTTCAGAAAAACTGAAATAAATTGTTAGAATAAGTTTCACAAATACACAATTTAAGGCCTTTTAAGATGATATTCCAGTTGATTTTAAGTTTGTCAGAACATTACATTTAAATTCCAATGTCTTGCTACCTACCACAGGAAACACTTGCCTAACCGTGTAGGGTTCAGGAAGAGATTAAGAAATACATGGTTATTTTAAACACAATGTCTGCTCCAAAACTGTCACAACATTAATTGGACTTCTGAGAACAAATGCTCCAAACACCTTCCCACAACAGGAATGGGGTATGGGAGAGGGGAAGGTATTGCGAACAGCACGCTTGGGTAACAACAGCATCATTGGAGCTTGTGTTGAATTTTCACTGAGTGCAATGCTTTTATTTCATTTACATTGCTGTAGGTCTAAACCAGCTCCACTCTCTTCAGAGTGCAATTTTTTGCAGAGATTAAATTGAGTCCCAGAGGAACAAATTTATCTAAACAAGGTTTGGTTTAGTATCTACTGTAGGTACAAAAAGTAAATTCTAACAGTCAGTCAGTCATTAGGAAAGCTACTGAAGAATAAACCTAACAGAGGTTGTATCGTTGCTTGTAGATGTTTGTTGGGTTTTTGTTGTTTGTTTTTAAATATCCCACCTGTAACAACAAAATTTAGTCTCTGTACTAAATAAAGCAAATGGTGATGAAAGCAGGAACCCTGGGTCTGCCTTACGCTTTCTTTACATCTCTATACAGGAAATCTTCAAGGTATGAATTCTGTCGTTTACACTTGAGACATTGCCTTTTTCCTAATGAGAGGCAAGACAGAAAAGGAGGGAAATCTGCACTTCTCTGGTAAAAGAGTATATAAAACTTTTCACTTTAAAAGTAAAACAATGACAGTTATGTGGATCTGCACAGTATGTTCTAGGAAACTATGACAGTAGAGCCCATTTAAAAATCAAACACAATGGTGAACTACGAAACAGGCCTCACTTTTCACTCATTAGCATAGCTTACCATAAAACCTACCTCTTTGTACAGATGACTATTCTACAGAGGCTCCTACATCACTCATCACCACAAACCTGAACAATTTATCACATTAAGGAACATGACTAATACCTGTAGTGCCTGACATATGAATTAACTGCTGACTCTTTAAAAAGTTTCCAGCACAGGGGTATTATAAGCAGAGTCTGTAATTACAGTGCCAGCTTTTATTAAGTTAAAATAACACTTATCTCTACAGAAACATTGATTTTCAGTTGCATATGCAGCTGTATCACACTGCTAAGGCTGAAATATTCAAGGCTAGATGCTTCCCCACATGAAAAACAAAAAAAAAAGGGTTTTGAGATCAAGAATAAAATCAAATTACCCATATTAAAATATAATTGTTAGTATCACACATGAAGCTCTAGTGCCATTCATACTTGTCAGCAGAATATAAAGTTTAGCAAAGAAGCTAAACCTCTGATTACCTGCTCCTGACACAACGTAAACTCACCTAATGCAAAAGCTTTATTTTTCCTCACCACCCCACAGCAAGACTGGCTGAGGCAGTGGCAGGAATTGTTTTACTTTGCTGGCCACATTACCTTTTAATGCAGAGCCTGTGCTCAGCACACTCCACTGCCTTGCACGCTCCTTTATGTCAAGTGGACTGTGTAAGCCCAGGGTGACTGAGCAGACACTAGCTGAAAGTCCTTTAAGCTGAGTTGGGCTTTCCCTGCGCTAGTTCATTCACAATTCTCAGCCAGCACTGAGGCAGAGTAGAACCATGAACAAGAAAGGATGAGAGAAATGCATGATTGCACAACCGTGACAGATGCAGAGACTGTATCCTAATGTATGTGCTTAAGAGAAATTAATCAAGGTTACATATGCAACCCTAGTTTTGGTATTCTCTATATTTAAAGCACTGGACTTCATAAACTTGATGTGTTCTTTTTCCAATGTACTCATCATATTCTGTAACTATTTCCAAATACTGCAAGACCCAGCAAGAGTCTTCAGCAAGCATTTGCTGAGAAGTGAAAGAAACAATGGACTTTTCAAGGAAATATAAATGCCTTTGTATTAGAGAGTTAGCAGGTTTCCTCATGTTACTAAGCATGAAGTCATCAGTTTTTGAATACCATGTTACTTCAAAAATAGGAAAAAGCAGATGTGAAAATCTCTGTATTTACCCCAAACCAAAAACTGTTAATACTGCACATTCCTCCATGTCATCTCCACTGTATTCAAAGAAGGACAGCGAGAACGTCTGTAATGGACATTCACCCCCCAAAAATAAAATGTAATGAGTACTTGCAAATATAGTACCATTAAAACCGAGCACTAAATGCCAGTGCTAGATAACACATTAACACTAGCAAATTAGGGGCTATTCATGAAAGCACTTTTGCCTTCAATAAAACTGTCAATGCACATCCTACTTATGATCAGTTGTCAGTTATACTTTACAGTTTAATCAGAAACAAAACAAAAAATCCATCCTGTAAAACATTTGCACACACAAAACTAAGAGTACAAAAGCTGAGATGGAATTTTAAAAATGAAAACAGGTAAGATGACAGCAATTAAACACAACTGATTGTCTGCAGAAAGTGAAGTACCCAATTTACAACCAAATCTTCACAGCAAGTATTTCAACCACTACCACCAATTCACGCTGTTAGCCATCCGTGTTCAGTGCAGGTGGCCCTGCAGTCTCTCTTGTACGCATTAACTGGACATCTTTGTCAGCCATACAAGTATCACAACCCCATACTGCTGATGCTTCTGCTGTAAGAAGGCCATAAGCTGACTCAGTCATACCTGTACAGATCCGATGAAACCATTTTTGACAAGAGGCTTCACACAGGATGGCATCCTGGTCATCGTTGACTTCATGTGTACAAATTCCACACGGATAGACAGGTTCAGAGGATGAGTGACCATGACGACTGGGATGAAGGGGCGTTTTGCTGCTCTTTTCAGAGTTGCATGCTTCAGCAGCACCTCGAGGCTGGCGGGACTTACTCTGAGTCCCATTTGAGTGACCAGCATTAGTGTTATCAGCACTATTAGGATGGCTATTATCCTGGTTTACCACGTTGTTTCGAGTAACATTTTTTAGGTCACTGTTACCTTGACTCACAATGTCCTCTGGCCTGTGATGATGCTGATGAGCAGTAGTGTTCTGGTTGGATGCTTTGCTTGCACCTTGACTAAAGTCTTGCTTTTGTGCTGATGATTTTGTTTGGTTGTACGTGTTTGGTGGAGGAACAAAAGAATGGTTTGACTCTAGCTGAGAATTTGGGAAATTTGGATTGTTTCCAGGACCAAAGTTAGATGGCACATCAGGGTGAGGTATCTGACCAGAATGGCCAAAGTTCTCACCAGGATTCGGTCTGAAATGCTGACCAGGCATACTGACATTTTGATTTATCTGACCACTACTATAAGGTGGTTGATTCCCAAAACCTGGGTTATCATGTGGACCAAAGCTGAAAGAGTGGGGCCGACTAAAACCCATTCCCACTGGGTTTTGAGGAAGGGGATGTGGCTGGTTTCTGAGGGAGTAAGAACCACCATATGGTGAGGACACTCTGGGCAGCATGTGAGGTGGCATTCTGAAAGTGTTATAGCCTCCAAAGCCAGGATAACCAGGATTACTAAAATATGGATTTCCTGAAGGAAGTGGTTTATAAGACACAGTATTATAGTTGTCATCAAAAGGATTTGCAGCTATAAGGTGGTCAGAGCTTGGATTCGGCGGTGGAGCATATTCAGATGGAGGAGGAAATGATGATCCCTAAAAATATTTTAAATAGAACATTTAAATTAGTTTTAGTATTTCCCTGCAAGACAGGCCAACCACAAAAGGTCCTGGATTAGTGCTAGTGCTGAAAGAGCTGTTCAGCTGTTGCATAAAGCTTACCCACCATACCCTGCCAGGCTGTATGAAATTTCAGCACAGAGGCAAGAGAGGAGTTTGGGCTCTGGATAATATGGTGATTTGTAGTAATCTCAGTGGTTTAAAAATTGTGCAGTTACACAATCATGTTTCTGAAAATACTACTTGATATGCAACTTCTATTTCTTAATGTTTCACATAAGAAAAGCAACAATATAGAAAGCCATGTGTCACTTAAGCACATGCACAGAATATTTCCAAAGATTGCAAGAGTAGATTTGAAGCATTTACTTTAGCTGCATTTTGGGTTCATTTTACTGAATATGTGTCTCTTAAGAAACCTCATTTCTATAAGGATATACAAACCTAATGTTACTATAATTGTAAAAAAGGTATATAGAATACAGGAGTTTGCATATAGGAATTTTCTGCATACCAAACAGAGGTACCTCTTATGAGCATTCAGTGATTGGGGGCAGTCTGCAAAGCACAGTCAATAGGTGTAAGATAGAAGGATTTCTGGTTACAGAGCATAATTAAATGTTTAATGGAGCCCAGAGGCTGTTTAAATGTTATCAGAGTGGCTATACAATTGAATTCCATAGTAGACTAGCCTGAGGAGAACATCTACCCAGTTCACTCTCACACTAACTGTGCTCACAGAAAGAATTTCCTCCAAATACCAATAAACTAAGATTAAACTTTCCCCCTCCACCCCCCCACCCCCCAAATAATAATAATACTAAAATAAACCTGCTGTGCTGCAGATTTTGAACCTGGTAAGAAGAGAGGAAACTAATCAGCATTCCCGGTACAGTTATCACCTTTCCACAATGCAAAGGAAGCTCCAAGAAGGAGGTCTGAAACCCTTAAATTGACTGAATGTTTCTCAGAGCAACTTTCATTATGACTGCTTTAAAAACAATAAAAACTAAGAAACCAGATCCACATCTCAATGGAATCTGGACAGTCCTAACAGAAAGCTAAATAAATAAAATCACTCTCACTGGGCAGTACCGAATTAATAGATATTCTCATCACTCAAAGCTGAATGAACACACAAAGAAAAATTCTACACTACAGATACCTAATTGCTTTAGATGCTGTGTGCTCAGGCTTCCTTTCCTGGAAACGGAGACTGTATAGAATTGCCAGATTGCAGGGATTCACTAGAAAGAAGCTGAACCTGCCTCACAGCTTTTGCTTGAAAATCACTCGGGAATATGCCAAGAGTTTGGTCAAAGCATTAAGAAACCATACTGATCCATTAGCCCACAAACCTACACATACAAGAACAAAAGAAAGAAGTAAAGTAGTCTCATGGCAACTACCCATGCTGTACAGATTTCAACCAATGGCTACAAAGTCATTGAAAGAAAGCCTGTCTCAGAATCAAATCCATATGGTAAAATACAAGCTATTGCAGTCTCACTGTGCTCCTCTCTTTATAGGTCTTTGGCAACCTACAGAGATTAAAATAACTTCAGTGAGAATAACTAGTATTTTGAAGATTCTAACTTCACAATACAACTGAAATATTCTGTATGTACCTGCTATTTGTGAGAACAGACTGATATTCCGGGCAATGTGAGATACCACAAACAACATGTGGGTGCACTACTTATTACAAAATCAAAAGAACCAAAGGGAATTTACCTGTGTATTTGCTTTGCGTTTTTTCTTATCAGGGCTCCCAAGTTGTACTCCTGGTCCTCCTAACCCATCCAATCCACTGTCACCACCTACAAAATTTCAATCGGTGCAATACTGCATTAGTTTTCTTACAGACTGTGTTTCAAGTTTCCCTCTGTAATAGCAACAGATATCTGTTACAGGTACTGAACTTGCACTAGTTCTGGTGGCTAACACTGCAAGAAGCATCTGGAGGTAAAAGCATACCTTGTATACTGCTAACTTAATACCACTTTAATGTCCAATTCATGCTCAGAGTTAAACATTTCCATTTATTTTATCTGTCCCTTGGTGTCTAATATTGCCACTGCACTAGTTAGAAGTATCTCTTGTTTGCTTAATGCATAAAACTGTCAAAAGAACTGTTTAAAACCATGCATAAGATTCACCTCCTATTTACCTTACATAGACATAGCATTTATCAAACTCACTGTACCAATATACAACAATATATTACAATACGTTGTGAAAGAAAAGGCAAAAAGTAGTAGATCTATGACTGAAGCCCATTGAAAACCTGCCCTGTTGTTTCAACAGATCTGCAATTGATAAGATCTAAATTCCACTAAATGAAAGATTCAATCAGACAAAACGATACCTGCCAACACTGAGAGGGGTTCTAAGTGAACCTGTCTTTCTCTGCAGAAACCTCATAGAATAATTGAGCATAGCTGCTCTGGCACAAAAAGAAATAAAGAATGTTCATTTTATTGATCACTGAATCAGGCTTGATTGAGCAACCCAAATCTGTACTTCACCTGGGATTCTTTCTCACCTTTGTTAACAGCGGAACCAGCTCTCAAGTTGTATAAATTGTGGCTTTCAGTTTTAAACCTCTGGTTAACTTTCTAGACAAGGAAAAAAAATAAGTTCTAACACATTCCTTACTACCCCAGTCAGCCTGCCTTCATGCGAATGCAAAACAACCCTGAGCTGAAGTACAAAAATCACTCTGGGGTGATACGAGAGCAACAAATGGTAAGATACTAACACCATTACAATAAGAAACTATATGTTAATTTCATTTTCCCCAGGCCCATTAAGATATTAGTTTATTTGCTCTTTTAAAAACAAGGTATATATATGCACATATATATATATGGTTAATATATATATAGCAACTATAGAACAGTAAGAAGTGGGCAATCCAACCCAAAAAATGTGCTGTTACTTGTTTAAAACTCATATTCAGAATACAAGGCAAACTTTAACCAAGATGCAAGCATACACCTGAACACGCAGGTTTGTCTCTATTACCAAAAGTAATATTACCTGAAGATAACTGTGAATTATCAATAATATTATACAAAGAAGCATAATGTATGAAATTGCACTGCTCTATGTTAAAGAGGTATTCCCTGCAGACACCTAAACCAACTTTCACTGTTCAGTAAAGTAATGGAAAATCTCTTCTCTCAGGGAAGAAGCAGACCTACTGTACACAGACTGAAATATCAACAGTTATTTCAAATACCCCTGATCAAAGGGGGGGCCAACAAATTTCACTCCTAGCACTTCCTTCCTCCCCATCTCCTTTTTTGAAGTTTCATGGAAATTACCAGTCCTATCCCCAGTAAGAATCCAGTTCTGCCTCTGCTTTAATAAGTTCCTTTTGGCTTTGCCTGTCACTGTTCAAATCTGTGAGCATCCGAGATCCACACCTATCAAAACTTAAGTTTGGATTTCAAAGACTAGGGCATGAAGTCACAATAAACTTCTCAAAATAAAATTATGCTGTTGTATAACCTACAATCAGAGTAACTAGGGATTACTTCTTTTAAAAAGAGAGTCCTTTTTGACTTGATTTAGAATACAAGATCCTGTGTATACCTAGTATGCGGTGAAGCACTGCCACTGCATTAACTGCAGATACTAACTAATCACAGCATAAAGTTTTACATAAAGAATGATGATTAAATCTCCCTTATACTTTAACTTTATAAAATAATCTTCTTGATATTTACTCAAAACTGACCCTGCCCTTTGCATTAGCTTCTTCTCTAGCATTCCTATAGGTTTATCATAAATTCACTGGGAAACTTCACTCTGACCACCATTCCTCACAACTGCATAAAATGCACTCCTGTTCCTTGTGGTCCTGCACTCATAACACATAAACAATATTAACCACTGGTAGCAAAGCATTACAAATATCCAGATTTCTTTTAATAAATTAACAACTAGCAGTGCAGGTATGAGTAAATTTGTGGCCAGGCACAGTAGTGAGGATCATATGCAAGTGCTGCCCTACAGTAGCATAAGTTAAAACTTTATAAAATGATGTATAAATTCCCTCTCTGGGATATCATTCTTCAAAAGCACAAGCCTATGAATATTAGAATTCCAGTGACAAGTTCCACGATTTCTCCATGTATTACTTCCACGGGTGAAGCCAGTCACAATCCTATGTTTGCAGAACAGAGTCCTACATCTGGAAAGGCACAAAGCTCTTTTATGTTCTCAGTTCTCGCTGTGTGAGGCCAATGATTTAATTTAGCCCTACAAATTTATATTTTCCCTGTGGATTTTATAATGCTTTAATTTATACATGAAAGGAAACAGAATGTTACTCCTAGCATACCTCCAAAAATGAGTGAATAAGGGTCATTTTCCTGCAGCCAAGATAAACTTTCCAGAAAGTCACTTTTGGTACCTACCACACAGACCTCCATTAAAAGGTGTACTGAGAATTCAGGAACATTGTACTAAAAAAAAATATTCATTGTTTGACACTATTTTTCCAGGAAAAAAAAAAATCACACAATTCTTTTGACTAGGGCATCATATCTGCAATGGATTTAGAGACAGAAATACACATCAGAGAACTATTCCCTTATTAAATAACAGGGAGAATGTATTTTTTTCACTTACATTTAGAAAAGGAGAAGTTCCGGATTCTTTTTTACTTCATCCATACACAAGAGATTTTCAGCATTATTTATGAGAACTGCAACTGTAGTTTTGTTTACATATTAAGAGATTGTGACTTTGCATGCAATTTATGACATACTTAACATGCCTCAAATACACTACAGAGTTTTTTCATTCTCTCTGACAAATCTCTGTCTAGGTTTTTACAGGATGGATGCCAAAGTCTTTTCAAACAGCTCTTTATCTCTGTAAGAATGTTTTCCCAAGAAACATAAATGGCTGAATAAACTTTTCATTAGAGACTGAAAACTAAGAAGAGTCTAATTCTGACCAGATTTGGTGAGCCTCTTCTGTGGTCCTGATACTGTAAACAGTTTTGATATTAAGCGGTAATCACATGGAACTCGGTGGGTAACTCAGGCATGTGAAACTGCATGTGCTTAAATATTTGCAGAATCAGGGCTTGGGAGTGAAGGACTCTAAGAAATCCCAGTCTCCTTTGTAACACTGCTGCGTATTTTCATTCTCTCACTCTCAAGGTTGCAATCCAGCTGTTATTAGAACAGTTTCAGAGAAGCAGAATGTAAGTCGATGACAACGTGCCTAGCTGAATCTACACCTTTCCCCACTTACCCAACCATTAAAAAAAAAGCTTAAAACATCAAGAACAATAGAATTCCAGGGGCAAAACAGGAGACGAGGCAAAGAGAAGCAATAAATTGCAGATCTTACGTTTTGCTATGATTTTCACCCAACTCAGTCACCCGACTGTCTCTCATGAATTCATTCGGAAAGCATTTCTGCTTTTAAGGACTATGAGGACACAACTACCGCTGCATAGACTGATGTGCTACTGCCATTAAAGTCAGCTGCACAGTCAAGTCGGAAGAGACACCGTATTTCTACCCTTCTCCTTGCACATTTCAAAGAAACGCGTACTTCAAACCTCACTGGAGCCATTCAACAGTGCTACTGATAAAGAACAATATTTGGACAGATTTTTCATTTCCCGAAAAACAAAAACCTCAGCGAGAATCAAGCACAAGAGCAAGACCAGGGGCAGAAGAGCAAACACTGAAGTGTAATTTATGGGCTCTGCATCAACACTAACTCGGACATGTGGCACTGCCGACGTATTCCCTTGCACCAGCAGTATGCACGCTGCATACTAATGGGCAGCACATCCAAGAAAACACGGGACATGACCACGCACCGCACGCGTCCCCGCGCGATCCCAGCTGCGCGCAGGGCGAGCCCGAGTTGGGCATTTCAAGGCCCGGAGGCTGCGGGAGCCCGCGGCGCCCGGCCGGGCCCCACCGTGCAAACTTAACGCGGCTGCCGCGCCTCCCGGCCCCGCCGCCAGCCGCAGGAAGGCACCGCGGCGGGGGCGCGGGCGGCCCGGCCCGGGACCGCTTTGAGCAGCGGCGGTCCGGTCCAGCCGATGCGCGCATCCCGCGGCGCCCGCCGGCTCCCCTCACGGGAGTTAGGCCCCAGCAGCAGCCGCCCCCCATGCCCGGTCCGGGCCCCTCCCGTACCTCGGGATCTCTTCAGCGCGATGGGGTCCTTCTCCTGTTCCGCTGACATTACAGACCGCAGCGCATGGCTCCCAGGGCAGCAGGAATCGAGGCTCTTTGATGCTGCTGCCGCCGCCGCCGGCCCGCGGCCCGCCCCCTCCTCCCCCGCCTCCCCCGCCGCCGCCCCCGCCCGCTGCTGCCGTAGCCGCCGCCGCCGCCCCAGCAGCGGAGCGAGCAGACTTTGCAAAGTTTGGGCGCGGGAGGGCTCCGCGGCGGCCCGCGGCCAGGGCCGGGCGAGACGGGCCCCGCCGAACGGAGAGCCGCTGCCCGGGAGCTGCGCGGGGGCCCGCGGAGCGCCGAGCCGAGCCAGGCAGGGTCCCCGCGGGCTGCGGGCGCCCGCCTCGCTCGGCGCCCGCCGCCGGGGCTGCCAGGCCCCGCGGCCACGCACAGCGCCCCTGCCGGCCACCAGCGCCGCTCACCTCGCTGTACCCCGGCCGCCGTTGCCATCCGGCTCCCTGGCCTCCAGGGGCACCGGAGGCAGCTCCCGCCGCGGCGGGGCTCCCCACACTCCCGCCATGAGCGCGGCGGGGCGCGGCCCTTCGCGAGGGGCGGAGGAGGGGGGAGCCGACAGCCCCGGCCGCGCCCCCGGCCCGCGCCGCCGCTCGGAACAAAGACGCGGGGCCGGGGCGGGCTCCTCCCGGCCGCCGGGACGCGCTGGGCTCGGGGCGGCCGCGCGGACCGTTAGTGCGCGTGAGGGCGGGAGCGCGGGCTGCGGCCGGCACGCGCCGCTCGGTGACCGCCCCTCGCACCTCGGCCCGCGCTGCGCTCCTCGCCCGCAGCACGTGCTTGGCGCGAGCCGCTCGCCTCAAGCTGCGGCTCCGGTGGCTCCGTGAAGCGCGGGAGCCCCGCGGGTCCCCCTCAGGTAGGTCCGTGCCGGCGGGAGCACCCCCTGACGGGGGGGGGAAAACGGACTCCCCCCTCCCTGCCTCCAGTCCGGTCTCTGGCCTGAGGGGACTGCAGAGGAGCGCGGCGAGCCCTGCTGAGCCCTGGGGGCACTGGTGCTGGTGCTGCAGTTGTGTGGAAACACGCGTTCGCCTGAAGCGGCCGCATGCCAGAGGTGTTACACACGGAGCCTCCTCCCTGATCAAAACTGTTTATCAACTGCATTGAAAATGACTGGCTTTCCAATAAGGGTTTATTCTCCTTTACCTGGGATAAAAATGTCCACGTAAAATGTAAAGTATGGGGTTTGCTGACGTACCTGATTTCACAATACCTGACAGCTGTACTTCTTTACATACCTTCCTGCTGTATGGATAGTTGGTACTTTCCCAGTATTTGGAACACTTTTTCTGGGTGTTATTTGTGTAAAGGTTACGGTATCAATGTTGCTGCGGTTTGGCATTTACATTTTGCGAGTCTAACTAAAGTAGGGTTTTTTTATGCTGATTTCTGTCCTTCCCTAGGCATCGTTTTTATTTGTCCACAGTCTTTTACTTCGCAGCAGTCGCAGATTGCACGTACCTCCAAGTATGGCAGATTGACAGTGCTCTTGTGGGATCTGCTGGTTAATTTTGTGTAATCTTGCTGCAGTGTAACTTGTTATTAACAAGGTGGGTGTGAGCTCGTCTCTGTTTGGAGGAAGATGTGTCTTATCTGTGAAGAGATTTGCATTTTCTGCGGTGGAGCTCACTGTAGGCCTAGATGATTCTCCCAGGACTGCATGAGCTTTTGTGTAAGGCTGCCTTGTAATAGCATGTAGACTGTAATTATGGATGCGCGGATTGATGTCACCGAGTCAATAAAGGTTCCTAGGGGGAGATTGTCTGTATCGGAGATGGGAGCAGGGAATTCAGATTTAACCCAGTGCTCCAATTGCAAAAAATGAGCTCTGTTTTGCTGTTCATCCAAATTCAGCTCTAACATGCACTCGGGGCTTTAGTGAGTGGCCTACGAGAATCCTGTTGGACTGACTTTACACTTCTATACCTACACTGGAAATGGCTGACACAGCATCTGAAGGGAATCAATTCACTTGTTCAGGTGCTTATGCCAGCATCTCAAATATTCCCCCACAGTATATGAAAGTTCTCATTATCACACACCATTCACCTCCTGATAGCCGAGCAGCGATGCTCACTGGTTGTCCTTAAAATCATTCCAACATTTCTTCCTCTCAGAAGCTGGCATTAATTGAGAAAGTTAGGGGTACCTAGCAATAACCCTCCAGCACTGAAGTGGAGGTTACCAAGAAGAGAGACAGGCTCTTCACTGAAGTGTGTAACAGGAAAATGAGACTCTATGGTTGTTATTTGAAAGGAGCTTCCAACTGGCTACAAGGGGATAAAAATGTTGTTTTGAGGCTAAGCAAGCACTGAGACAAGAAACTGAAGAAACGTAGGATCTCCATTCAGGGAGATTTTCAAGACCCAGCAGGGCAAAACCCAGATTAGCCTGGCCCAAGTTCAGTGTTAATCTTGCTTTGGGATGTGGGACCTGCCTTCAAAGCACAGTGATTCTGTCATTCTGAAATGATTGTCTTCTTTTCACCAGTAACCAACCACAGAGAAACTCTTGCTCCCTGTACTCAGTTGTGAACAAGTGCTACTTTATAACTCACCCCGATTGATTGAAAGGTGCTTTGGTGAGATAACAGTAACTTCAATCACATGTGATATAGCACCTAAAAACGTTACTAAGTATAGAAGAGGTGGTTTGGGGAACTTCATAGGTTCTTTTCCTCCTGAATTCAGGTTAAAAAGGTGACTGAAAGAACTGTTCTGTACAACCAACCAGTGGGTAAAGGAAGTTCTTTTCCTAATCATCATAGGTCTGAACATTCCACACTGCATTCCGCTGTCAGGAGAGAAGTGTCAGTGAGACACAGATCCATGACAGAGCATTAACATTTACAGGGTTTTTACTGCCTCTTTTCACATCTAACTGCTGCATATCTCGGGAGCCACAGAGTAGCACAGCAGCCTGCTTTGGCAACATAGGAACAGATGCAAATGTGCTAATGAAAAAATTTAAACACCTCAGAGAAAATTTCTGATGTTTAAGGAATTTAAAAAAGAAGAAGTGAAAGATCTGTCCTGTTTGATTTTATGGGGGCCAGTATTTCATACCAGAGCAATAAAATTAGGAAAGAAAAAAGAAAGCATGACACCAGAAGGAAAAAACCTGGAAGCTGGCTGAGCTGTCTAACTGCTGCTTCCAGTACTGGAAGTTTTCCTCTCATGTAAGCCATATATGTTCTAACATAAAGCACACACAGCTTTCACCTGTCAGGTTACTGCAATTTATCAACTCATCACAGAAGATTTCTTATACAGCAAAACAGAAACGGACCCCTGTGCAATGGACATGGGCCTGGCGTCCAGCTGGCTCCCGCAGGAGCACACTATGTTGGGCCTGCATGGCAGTGCCAAGGGATGGCACGTGCACAGCAGCACCTGTGCAGGTAGGCTTCCTGGCACATGGACGCAGAAGCCAAGGAACCAGTAGCCTCTTTCCAACCTGGACTGAAAGCACTGAGCTGGAGAAAAGGGACACACTGGGGAAATTTGGATGTTGATAGCCTTAGCTCCTAACAGCCTTCCAGCATCAGTAGATTTGATTCCCCCACCTGCTGTGAGGGGAAAATATGAAATCAGTAACTCATTGTTCTAAAGGGCCCCTTTTCATGTTAAACAAAGTGCTAGTTCTACAGACCTGTACATGTTTCACAATATGACTGCGAAAAATAGGACTATTTATCAAAGCCTGAGACAACACTAAACTGGTTTTACACCTCTTCCTCCAGACTCATTTGTTCTCCTCCCCCGCATCTCCCTTTTTGAGGGTAGTAAAACTAAATGCATGCATGTTTATAAATCGCATAAAGCACAGAGATGTGCTTTTTATGCCTTTTTAGTCTAGCTGTTTGTGCAGTTGGTATTGCTCTGGAAAAATGTGTTACCAGGTCCCTTCTGGGTCTGGATGTAGAGAGATGTAGAGCATCTCTCTGCCAGTCTCGGGGATTGTAACTGTAACTGAAACAGTTTGAGCTCAAGTCATTGAAGCTATTTTAGTGCAAATTGCTCGCCTACTGGTGAATGCCGCGTCTGTTATGGTGATGTAAACCAGGTCTCAGCAGCCCACCTCCGTTTTGTCTCTGTGTTTAATCAACAAACATTAAGACTGTCTAAACTTCTGCATTAACCATTCATCCACATAATATAAGGTACAAAATGAAAACTAATTAATTGTCTGTTTCTGTTTCAACTTTAATCTGAAGTGAATACAAAAATGTAGGGGGAAAACACAGAACAGATTGCTTTATGTGTTAGTTCCTAAAAGAAATGAGATTTTTTTCTGTAGTCCACTGCATTAGTTTTTTTCTATATGATGCATGATCATCTTGAAAGCAAGTAAAAAGCCTGAGAATGATCATGCCTTTGTATAATCACAGCAAATCATTGGCTGATGAAACACATTTTTCTAAGCTTTGTAAGACAAGTTGTTAGAGAACTGATCAAAAAATATCTCAGAAATGTATGCAAGGGTACTCCAGTGTCATACCTATACTGGAAGAAAAACTCTTAGGTCTGAAACTTGGCGAGACTGATGTCTTTGTTTGAGTGCACACTTACCTGTACAACTCACAGATAAAATACAGCCAGGAAGAAAACCCCAAAACATTGATGCTCTCACATACTCTTTCCAACAACATAAATTACTTACAAAGCTAAAATTTGACATTTTAAAACTACAGAATTGTATGGCAAATATGTAAAATCAGTAAGTATAGTACCTGAACATTTAGCGTATGAAGACAGACACTGATGTCTAGGAACTTGAGTGTTATTGGTGTATTTATTTACATACCAAAGTACAAAAGTTTTGACAAGAAATCAGTGTGTGTTTATATATATGCATTAAAAATCTGTAATTTGATCCACAAATCACTACGAAACATAAAATTTCTTTCCCTTTTGCCGTCATGGTAAATAAAAGGGAACTTTCAGGTTGCAGTGTTAATATTATTAATACAATAAATTTTTAAAAGGGACAAATACATGTTTTTACAAACCTTTGTGAGCTCCTCTGCAGAATGGAGTGCCATTTCTCCAAGAAGTGGTTGCCTGCTGAGGAATGAATAGTGAAATGGGGACACTCAGTGGGGAAATGAAAGAAATGCATTTTCTTGCCCTGTCTGGATTATCGTATTGAATCCTTAACATTTTCCTGTTTATCATGGTTTGATGAAAAGAGAAGCAAGCATTTAATTCCTGCAGTTACTCAGTTCTCCAAGAGCCCTTTCTAGTTTCCTGCAAAGGCCAC